GACAGCTCATCGTCATTTTATTCTGGCAGCTAACCGAAACTGCAGGTGAAGAAGGGAACTTTGCTCACAGGGATAAATAGGGAAGATTGACAAGGCAGCTACTAAGAGTGAATCGTGAACAGGAACTTTATTTGTCCCAATTCAAGACGTTAAGGGTGTCCCATTTACAGGTCAGAAGGAACGCCTCAATAGATCGACTCAGTTTTTCCGGTGACTGCTCAAAGGCTGCCGTCAGAGTAATCATTTCCGACCATTATTTCTCTGCTAACGCCAGATGTTAGTAAAGATCCATCCATAAAATTAGAATTTCAAAAAACCGAAGGATGCCATCAATGTGCATCGAATTTCTCCGGAATATGTAGAAAAGCTCCATGCCCTGTGTCAGCAAATGTGGACCCACGAGAATTTCTCAGAAGAATCGAAATGTACAGTAGTTGTTCCTATATTTAAGCAGAGTCATAGGAACGAGAGTTCCAATTATCATGGTATGACAACTCCGAGAAACTTTTCTTCGGGACTATCCTGAAAAGGCTAAGGAAGGCAGCTGATAGGCGACTTCTCTCAAATGAAGCAAATTCCGAATGAAGCACTCCTGCACCATTCTAATTTTCACTTTGCGTAGGATAGCTCTGAAATGCTGACGATTCCGTTTGTCTCGGTTTGACAGCTTTTTCGACCTTAGAGATGCATCTGGTTCAATATACCATCTGAAGATATGGAAAATCTTGAAATACTATAAGGTACCTGACCACCGCTTATACTATAGATGAGATAAATACAGGACTCATATCTAGAACTTGAAGGAAAACTGTCTGAATGGTTCTCTATTAACTGTAAATTATGCAAGATAGAATTGCTTCGCCTTTGCTCTTCAGCTAGTTGTTTTCGACTTTCTTTTCCTAAACAGTGCTGACCCTAGAAAAGGTCTCATCCTAAAGGGAAGGTGCTGTTCAAGGTATGGGGCTAGATATCTTGTCGTACTGATCTGGAGTACGTAGATAATCGTATCCTGGTCAGTGGTACGAAAAGCAGGCTTTGTCGCCTGACAGCTTCTCCATGCATCACAGCTACAAAAGTCTGCCTCTTCTTTAAACCTTGAAAGTAAAAGGTTATGAAGAACGCATTCGCACAATAGATCTGTGAGTAGAGCATGGTGGTGAAGCTCTTCATTGAGCTGATCAATATCTTGGCTCCAGTATCTCCAGGGAGGGCACCATTTAGCCAAAGTTAAATATCGAATCGCCATAGCCTCGACTGCATTTGAAAACATGTTCAGTGTTTGGCAGAGAAAATCCATGAATTTCCCTTCCCATGAAAATCCGCCTGCATCCTGCCTCTGCCAAATCAATGCTATCGTGCGGCATATAGACAGTTGTTCTGAGGA